CCCCCCCCCCCCCCCCCCCCCCGCTTGCACACGCGCTCTCAAAAATAAGTAAAATGAAAAGATAATAAATAAAAGATCCCTTTCCCTTGAGCCTTTTTTTATACAATATGATTTTGGATTCTTTCACAATTCTGCTTCCTCTCCTCTGGATATTCCAGTTTGCCTTATGATGTGGGGCCCAGATAGGCTATAATATTCCGGATTAAGTCACACTGGTACCATATGCTTGCTGTGCAGGTTGACATTAGCCTTATCACAGGAGCGGCTTATATAAATTTATGGCCAAAACTCCCACACCCTTACACACGAACTGCTCTGTCTGCTATCTTATCCCCTAAAACATTCTGCGTCTCTAGACGGTTGCCTTGGGCCTCAGCTCATAAGCCACACAAGAAAATCATTCATTACTTTGTTACCAGACCTTGTTTTTGACCAAAAGTTGCATTAGGTATTATTTTATATAGTTCAACTTAATATCTGACTCTGTGCCTCACTTTATTCATGTAGACCTAACTCAATGTCAAATTTGTGCTTAAAAAAATTTGCATTGTAGGAGGCACCTGGGTGGCTCAGTTGGTTAGGCGTCCAACTTGGGCTCAGGTCATGATCTCTCAGTTTGTGGGTTCGAGCCCCGCATCCGGCTCTGTGCTGACAGTTTGGAGCCTGGAGCCTGCTAGGGATTCTGTGTCTCCCTCTCTTTCTGCCCCTCCCCAGCTTGCACTCTCTCTCTCTCTCTCTCTCTCAAAACTCAATAAACATTAAAAAAAATTTTTCTTAATTTGAATTGTATGTGTAAAACCTGAGTAAATGTATTCTATTTAAAAAATTACCACTCTTCTTGAATTTGATGTTTTTTCTTTTTGTTTTTGTACATCTAAGCACATAGAGTGTATATACTATTGAGCATTTGGGGGTGGGTATATTTTGAAATAACTGTTATACTGCATCGTATTCCGCTCTCACTTCATAATACCAGGGAATGTGGGCTGTCCTCTCCAATGCCAGCTATTGTAGGATTCTGACATCAATTCTTACATCGTTTAGTCTTTGTGGCTGAAACACAAAGAGCTCATTGACTTCAGCTCAGGTCACGACCTAGCGGTTTGTGAATTTGAGCCCCGTGTCGGGCTCTGTGCTGGCAGCTCGGGGCCTGGAGCCTGCTTCGGATTCTGTGTCTCCCTCTCTCTCGGCCCCTCCCCTGCTCATGCTCTGTCTCTGTCTCTGTCTCAAAAATAAATAAAACATTAAAAAAAAAAATTTTTTTTAATTTTTTAAAGTGGGCTCCTGTCCAACGTGGAGCTTGAACTCATGGCCCTGAGACAAGAGTCACACGCTCTGTGGGCTGAGCCAGCCAGCCACTCCTGTGTACATTTTGATGTATGTATGTAAAGTCCTCGTATGTCTGTATTTAAATGGCTCATAAATACACTGAACACCGAAGTTGAGGATCAAGGCCTTTGACATCCTGCAGTGAATTCTGTGCAAGAAGATACAGAGCCTTTAATAATTCTGATATAGATTAACTAGCTCTGAGTGTGCCAGAATACACTCTTCCCCTCAAGAAGAGACTGGGTCAGGTGCTTGGCGAAACCCCACACCGTGTCCTCGGTCACCCCCAGTCCGCCCCGACAAGGAGATGCAGTTAAATTTACCGCGGCCCGTTGACCCTTGTATTCTGTTAAGTGCGGGCTCTGGGGGTCATCCACTGGGCCTAACTGCACAAAACCTGAAGCCGAGGAAGGCGACGCGGTTCAGGAGGCACCAGGGGTAAACTGAGTCGGAGGTCCTGCCGAGGCCTCGAAGCTCGCCTCCACAGTGCTCCCTTCCCTGCTCTCCCTGCAACATTCTCCCGCCTCTCGACGCGCGACAGGTGGTCTCCTCCCGGGGTTGATGGCGGCGGTGGTCTACCACCCCCAAGAAGTCGCCTTTGGGTCCCGCATGCTTGCCGCTTACTGGCTGTGCACACGGGGGGCGCAGATCCCTCCATCTGCAAGATGCGGCGAGCACCTGTCCCTGCCTGGGCGGGGTTGTTGTGGAGGATCCAGGGAGACCCCTGACACCTAGGTATGCCCGCTGCTGTCAGTTGCCATGGTCACCTCAAGAACGTCAATTATCGGGGCTGTCACACACGTCAATTCGCAGACGCGCACGCTCTGGCAGGCTTCCTTCGCCTCGGGTTTCATCGGTAACGCTGGGCGGGTCGCTGGCTGGCTCTGCGTTTCTGTCTCCCAGACCATTGTAGTTCTTACATCTGGCCCGTGGGCGCCTGGCTCAGCCTCCTCGGCTTTCCCAAAGCCTCCGGACGGAGTCGCGAGGTCCCGCCCGGAAGTCCTGGAGGAGAGTTGCCTCGGGCTTACCGGAGGGGCTCCGCCGCTTGCCACCTGGGCGGCCGTCCAGCGGCGGACGGAGCAAAGGCCACGGGCGCTGCTCACGCCCGGGTGGGGGCAACACGTGATCAGGGCACGCGACAGCACCTGCCGCCCGCATTTTTCTGTGTACAGGCGGTGAGCGCTGGCACGCGATTCTCACACCGCCCCTCCTGTTAGGTGGATCAGAGTGGTCCCCTGCTTGGCACACGAAAAAGGAAAAAACAGCACAGAGAGGTTAAGGAGCATGCCTGAGGCCGACAGCCAGCAGGTGACAGTTCATTTGAACCCTCTGTGGTGTGATTCCTGCCCCGTGTTTTAACCGGCAAGCAGCATTCAGTTGATTCCAGATGGAGAAGAATGAGTTCTGTGAATCCATTTCAAATGAGTATAATGGGTTTGTTGTTGTTAATATATTTTTTTTTTTTTACTCAACTTTTTATTTTGAAAAGTGCAAACTTAGAGAAAATTGAAGACTAATGAAATGAACAGGTATACAGATTCAACAGTTCTGTTTCATATAACTTATTCTCTGTCTTGGGGCTCCTGGGCATGGTTGCCGGCCCAACTCTTAATTCTACCGGGCATGCAATAGTTTGTGGGTCTGGTTCCCATGCTTCAGGCCCTGTGGTGATAAAAAAAAAAACAACAACAACAAACCCTCTCTCTGTAAGATCTTAAAAAAAAAAAAGGTAAAACTTTGTCATTTGCAACAATGTGGATGGTGATGGAACTAGAAATGTATTATGCTAAGCAAAATAAGTCATAGAGAAAGACTCACAGTTTTACCTTATATGTGGAATTTGAAACATAACAGATGAACGAGGGCAAGGGAAGAAAAATTTGATAAAAACAGAGAAGGAGGCAAACCATAAGAGACTCTTAAATACAGAGAACAAACTGAGGGTTATGGGGTGCAGGGTTTAAAGGAGGGATGGGCTGGGAAACCAAAATGTGGGCAGGAGGGAGGACACTGGCTGGGATGAGCACTGGGCCAGGCGTAAACTGATCAATCACTGGTTTCATTTGAAACCACCATCTACACTGTGTATTAACTAACTTGAATTTAAATAAGTAAAATTTTTTAAAAAAGTAATGGTAGGTGGAACCTGGATGGCTCTAGTTGTTGCTGCCTGACTCTTGGTTTCTGCTCAGGTCATAATCTCACAGTCGTAATCTGGGTCGAGAGTCCATGCAGAGCCTGTTTGAGATTCTGGCCGCTTCCTCTCTCTCTCTGTCTTCCCCTCCCGCGCTGTGTTTCATTCTTCAAAACAACAAACTTAAAAAAAAAGTAAATGGCAGATTTACTCAGAGAGTTCCCTAAATAACGAGCACACCGCCACACACACGAGGTACTATGTCAAGGAAAGAAAATGTTAATAAACCTAGTTTGGGATCAGTCAGATCCCACTACACATCAGCTTAAACTGGCGCTGCTCTAAGGGCTACGCTTGGTGGCTCCATCGCCGCGTCCGGCCTGATTTCGCCGGCCCAGCATCGACTCCACACTGAGCAAGGAGCCAGCTTAAGATTCTCTCTCCCTCTCCCTCTGCCCCTACCCAGATCTCTCATTCTTTCTCGTGCCCCCCCCCCCCCCCCCCCCCCCAGAAAGGAAAGGAAAGGAAGAAATTGCACCGCTCAAAAAAATCCTTACCAGAACCTGATTTTCGTTTCTTGCAGAAGTCCTACTCCATGCCCATCGGCATCGAGTTTCAGCGGCGGTACGCGACCATCGTCCTGGAGCTCGAGCAGCTGAACAAGGACCTCAACAAAGTCTTGCACAAAGTCCAGCAGTACTGCTATGAGGTGGGGACTTTGTAGGAAATCGCTGAGGGGCCCCCCTGCGCTCTTTTACCTTAAGCTCTTTTAAGCTTAACGCGGGTTACCTTCACATTTTCGAAAATTCAGACTAAGCCATTACCTTTACGAGGCCCGTTAGCAAAACCACGTTTACGTACGTTTTTACTTGTTTTGGAGTTGGTTTGAAGAGTGCTCTACGCACAGGGAGCTATCAGTTCTGTTGGTTTTTGTTTGAGTCACAAATGTTAGAGCTCTTGGAAAAAAATTCAGGAAAATCAAGAAAAATGATTACTGAATTCTGCTATCCCAATACTATATTTTGGTTTATTTCCCCTTCGTCTTGTATATATACCTCTGCCTCTTCTCACAAGGTTATGGTCCTGCTGTGTATACAATTTTGTTTCCTCCTTTCAGCTTTGCATTAGAACTGTGGATTCTCGAACTTCCAGTATAGAGAGCATAGGGTTATTTGTGAATTGTTACCACGTGTGTAAATTCATGCATATGAAGGCAGTTCAACAGTGTCACCTAAAATTTGATTTTCTTTTAAAAACTTTTTTTAGAGTTTATTTATTTATTTTGAGAGAGAGCACACGAGCAGGAGGGGTTGAGAGAGGGAGAGAGAGAGAACCCCAAACAGACACCGAGCTGACAGCACGGAGCCGGATGCAGGGCTCGAACTCACGAACCATGAGATCACTCACGAACCATGAGATCACTCACGAACCATGAGATCATGACCTGAGCCGAAACCGAGAGTTACTTAACACACTGAGCACCCCAGGCGCTCCTTAATTTTGATTTTCTTACCATACGGTAGGAATTAAACGAGATGAGTTTGGAATGCTCCCGCACTCGCATTTTTATGTTTCCAGTGAGCCTCCTCCACTTGTGATGTGAGATTCTGCACCACTTAGCCCTTTATCGTGCCGGCCTCCAGCGAAGTCCCACAGACCCGCCTCGGGCCATGTTACCAATCCCCCTGCACTGACCGTAGGGACGTGCTCAGTGGTTGCCTATAACCGACCTCAGTACATTTTGCTCGTTCCTCTAGCCCTCCGTTACCATTTAGTTTTATTTTCCTGCTGGTTGTCACCTATGTGACACCGCTCTTTAGCTTCGTGATGTGTGCCAGGCCTCTTGTGATAGGCTCGTTTTTCCAGGGAAGCAGACTGATTTAATTTTCACAAAGCTCTTGAGGACATACAGTATTGATTTTAAAATAAGAACAGGGAGCACTATGATTAAGCAATTCTGTTCCCAGTGTATACCAAACAGATTTGTGAACTTGTATTTACCCAAAAGATCTGCGCTGGAACGTTCAGAGCATCTAAAAACGTTAGAATTTTTTTTATTAGAGACAAGGTTGCTCGTTGCGGCACTCCTGGTAATTGCCAAATATTAGGAGAAAACGTAAATGCCCGTACACAGGGAATTGGCTGAAGGACTTAGGGCACGTCTGCACCGTGGAGTGCCTCCCGTAAGAACAGTCCGGGAAGCTTCCTGTTCACCCACATGGATGATTTCCAGGCTACGCTACGTGAAAAAAGGAAAGTACGTGAAAGTTACTAAGTGTTCCCCTTGGAATCAGAAACACGCAGGAGTAGAATCTACGAGTAACGGCGTAGTTTTTCAAGAATAAATGCAGGAAGGACAGACCGGAAACCGATTTGGGGACGGGGTGGGGGTTGGGGAGGGAGGAGCGGTGACATTTCTTTGCGTGTCTGTTTCCTCAGCAAACACAGATGAGCTCAGCTCTAAAATGGACTAGAAAAAGAAAGAAACGAACCTAACCATATTCTAGAGGAGAAACAGAAACACTGACGGGGGCCAAAACGCATCCACATAACCTGAACATAGTATTTTGACTATATATACTCTTAGGCTGAAGGTAAACCGAACTTTAAATAAATACTGAACTCCAGTTAGTAAGGTTTTTTCTCGTGGCGGTATGGGTTCGCAGTTCTCAGACTCTGCATCCCAATGGAGCAGATGAGTAACGAGGTGTATTGTGGGTGACAGAAGCCCGCTGTCCCACCTCCAGAGAAGGCGCCAAGAAGGAAAGGCTACGGCGAACCCTGTGGCGTTAAATTAGAAGAGGAAGAATCGGTCTGACTCCGTGGTTCCTTTTATTTATAAGACACGATGTAAGTGTGCATGTGTGTGCGCACACGCACTGAGAGAGCCCGGAGGCAGACACCCTGACAGCAGCGAGCACCCCCAGCACTCGATCTTGGGTTCCAAACGCTACTGTCTACAAATAGCGCTCCTCGAAAAAGAGCCTGCTTCCAGAGCGTGGGCAGAGAAGGTAGACGAGCCCGGACCATCTTAGCGGGCAAGGAAGTAAAATGTGCCCCCTGGGGTAAGGGAACATGTCCAGAACCAGCCGGACAGGGTCCCCGCTGGCCAAATCTGGGACAGTTTGGGCTTCGGCATTAAGTAATTATACTGAGAGATTATAACCTTTTGAAGAAAGTAAGAATCTGTGAGTCCATACTAATTTATTAACTAATTAACCAATTAACTTTTAAGGAAAAGTTCTTGTAGGCAAATGCCACCCGATAAATGTAGAAGGAACAGTGAGAGGAGAAGGGTATCGCTCGGCAGCCGTCCTGGTAATAACCGGTAAAGGCGAGAATCGTCCCTAGACGCGAAAACTGGAGGGTGAAAGTTTGCCGAGGAACAGGGTCTTTACGTAGCCTCAGAATCCCCCTTCACAGGTACTTACTGATCACACGGGAAATCCTGTGCCACGGGGAAGTCTGGCAGACCCCTAACTACCTTAGCCAAGTGTTCGGAGGTAACACCACCAGCAGTTGGACACACCCACGTCCAACCGTGACGCCTCCGAACCGTGACGCCCTGCGTGGGAACTCGGTGCCACTTTCGTGGTTCTCCTCCCCAAAGTGCGTAACTTCCGTCCAATCACGAGGAAACAGACAAACCCACGGTGAGGGACCATGTACAAGATAATTGGCTGCTACTCTTCAAAAATGTCAAGGTCATGGGAGAGAAACTGGTCCAGAATAAAGGAACCTGCAGAGACATGACGACCACATGTCTTCGGGGGGGGGGAACAGCCACATGTAGGACACTTGAGACAGTTGAAATTTGAATGCGTTCTGTTAGGAGTATGGCCTCGCATCAACATTGAATTTCCTGATTGTGGGGTGCCTGGGGGGCTCAGTCGGCTTAGCGTCTGACTCTTGATTTCAGCTCAGGTCAGGTTCTCACGGTTCGTGAGTTCGAGCCCTGTGTCGGGCTCTGCACTGACAGCTCAGAGCCTCCTTGGATACTCTCTCTGCTGTTCACCTGCTGCTGCTCTCTCTCAAAATAAATAAATAAACATTAAAAAAATTCCTGATAGTGATAGTTGCACTATGGGGATGTAATAGAATATCCTTTACTTACAAAATACAAACTGGGAGTGCTTTGGGGCAAAGAGGCACAGTGTTTGCAGGTTATTCTCAAATAGTTACAGGGGAAAAAATTACACATTACACGGAGAGAGACCAAATAAATGTCAAACAGAATAAACCACAAACAGCGTCTCTGGGTAAAAGGTTCTTGGGGCGCCTGGGTGGCGCAGTCGGTTAAGCGTCCGACTTCAGCCAGGTCACGATCTCACGGTCCGTGAGTTCGAGCCCCGCGTCAGGCTCTGGGCTGATGGCTCGGAGCCTGGAGCCTGTTTCCGATTCTGTGTCTCCCTCTCTCTCTGCGCCTCCCCCGTTCATGCTCTGTCTCTCTCTGTCCCAAAAATAAATAAAAAAAAAAAAACGTTGAAAAAAAAATTTAAAAAAAAAAAAAAAAAAAAAAAAGGTTCTCAAGGCTTTTCTATTCTATTCCTTCTTAGAAGTTTGAAATCATATCAATTAACAGTTACCAAGAATATAAAAGAAATTGGGGGGGGGGACTGTTAGAGAAGAAAAATTTCTAAGGTAGGAGTAAGGACCATTTTCATTATAAATGCTAGTTTTACAAAAATCCGAATCAGAGGGCGCCTGGGGGGCTCAGCTGGTTAAGCATCCGACTCTTGATTTCAGGTCAAGTCATGATCTCACGGTTCATGGGATTGAGCCCCACGTTGGGCTCCGCGCTGATGGCGTGGAGCCCGCTTGGGATCCTCTCTCTCCCTCCCACTGCCCTTCTCCCACTCGTGTGCACGCCCTCTCTCTCAAGATAAATGAAGTTTATTAAAAAACCATCCGACTCTGAAAACGGCACAAACACAGATTATGGCCTTATGAACAACGTCTTCTGCTTGAACCCTCGGTTCTCAGCTCGCTCCGGACCAGGGCCTCCAGCCCGCAGATCAGCCAACAGACATGCGGCGAAGGTGCGAGGAGGAAGCCCAGGAGATCGTGAGGCACGCCAACTCCGCCGCCGGACAGCCCTGTGTCGAAAATGAAAACCTGACGGACTTGATCTCCAGGCTGACGGCTATCTTATTACAAATTAAGGTAACTTTGGGAGAAGACATGTCCTAAATTTTGACAGCTACACAAACAACTCTGCTGATCTGTTGCTGAAAAATTATAATCTACAGATTATATCCGATGCCTATTTGTCTGTCTTTGAACCGTGATTCAATTAAATTTTGAAATATCTTTCCTTTTAGTGTCTAGCAGAAGGAGGAGACCTGAACTCCTTTGAATTCAAATCACTCACAGATTCACTAAATGACATCAAGAGGACAATAGATGCTTCTAATATCAGGTAATTCGTTAGATGGACCCGAATCCCTCTTGTTAGTCCACGGTGCCTTCCGGCGCAGGTTTTAAGAATTAGGCGTGTGAGTTTTGGCCTTTAAATAAATTATAAAAGAGCTGTCAGTTCTGTGCCATCTATTGACAGAACAGAAATGGGACGTGTGTTTTGCGGACGAAGGAATCTGAAGACGCGCACCATGTGGACCTGGGCGGGGTGGAGGCGCCTCTGAGGCAATGGTCCCCAGAGACAGCGCCTTTGCCCCCCCCTTCCCTCCTACCTTTTCACTTCGTCCTGCAGTGGGGGTGGGGCCGCTGGGGTCGTAGCCCGTGTCAAGGGGAGATTTAGTCCTTCCTCGGGGCCATTTCCACAGCCCGCTCTTCAACTCCAGTTCAGCCCTTCCTTCTCTCAGAAGGCTTTTCCCCACGTAGTGAGATGGCGCAGCTCACCGCGTTTCTTCCTTCCTCAGCTGCTTCCAGAACAACGTGGAGATCCACGTCGCGCACATCCAGAGCGGCCTCAGCCAGATGGGGAACCTGCACGCCTTCGCCGCCAATGACACCAACAGGGACTGAGCGGAAGACGTCGCGGCTCCGGCCGCGGGGGACCCGCTTCGGAGTGTTCCCGCCCCCCCCGGCTCCCAACCCCGAGTTACGGGTCCCGGAACGCGGGGGAGGCCGAAGCTCCAAACGAGGCACTTGAGGACACTGGGCCGCCTGGCCCCGCGCCGCTGACCAGCTTCGTGCTTATTTGCCTCTTCCCGTCCGGCTGCGGCAGCATCGCTTACGGCACCTGCTCGGGGGCGGGTATCTTTCAGCTGAAAACGGCCGAACGCTTTTTTTAACGCGCATGAACTCAGCCCGACACACGCAGGCGGCGCCCCCAGCGGAGAGCAAGAGACACGGCCTTGTGGCGGGTGGCCCGTGGCCGTGTGGCAGCAACAGCGGGGAAGTGACGGCCCGGGCTCCCCCAGCCGCGCACCCTTGGGTCGTTGACGGAGCGCGCCCTCGAGGCGCGGAGGCCCGGTCTGCAGGAAGCCGCTGGAACACGGGTGGGAGACGCGGGCCCGACCGGCAGACGTGATAGACGGAGCGCGACCTGGGCCTGCACGTCATTTTCTAGTAATAAATATTTTAATTTATCATAATTTATAAAAGAAACCTCTGTTGTTTGTCGAAAGAAAATGAAGGAGCAGGAAACAAATTACTCGCAAAATGGCTGCATTTCGGCAAGTGGATTTGGTGGGCCTTTTCCCGCCGCGTCAGGGCAAAAAGTGCTGTGACGAGATGTATTTAAGAAGACTGACGACACACTATTTTCATATTTTGTTTATTTGCACAACTCGAGCCAGATTACTGGTTAAAATCCAACCGTACACAATTTATAAAGTCAAAAGATTTTATAAGGAAAACGAATATAATAACCAGTGCAACGAAATGCAGGAAAAAAAAGGTTTGTATTCGGTCGTGGGGTTTTTTTGGTTGTTTTTTGTTGTTTTTAAAGGAAAACCCTGCCTACGATGTCAATCTTGTACAAAGTGTGTATTTGGAATTTTGTTTTAATATAGAATATTATAAAGTCAAAATATAATAAAATTGTTTTCAGATTTGGAGTTTAAGGTATAGCTGTAGAGGTGACTTTGATTCTTTTAGCTGTCCCATAAAATAGGACTTTTTATATGTTGATGTATAATAAAACTAAAACCAGATTATTTTCCATTTGAAAGTTTTGTATAGTTTAAAAATGCTTCCCTATTCTTTGTTGGTCTTGTGCCACTGCAAACCTTTAGTGCAGAGTTTATATTTAGCTAAACAGTTATGTTAATTAAGAAATGCATAAATCCTTTATTCTTAATATTTGTAATTCTAAATAAATTGATCTATGAAAAGTAGTATTGGCTACCATTTTCACTTAACTGATACAAGTTGATAAGTATTCCCTCTATTTAAAAAGTTTTGGGGCACCTGGGTGGCTGTCAGTTAAACAGCTGACTCTTGATTTCAGCTCATGATCTCCCGAGTCATGAGATCGAGCCCTGCATCGGGCTCTGTGATGACAGCTGGGAGCCCTGTTTGGGATTCTCTGTCTCCCTCTCTTTCTCTCTGTGCCCCTCCCCCACTCATTCTCTCTCTCTCTCTCTCTCTCTCTCTCTCTCTCAAAAATATTTAATTTTTTTTAATGTTTATTTTTGACAGAGAGAGAGACACAGCATAAGCGGGGGAGGGTCACAGAGAGAGGGAGACACAGAATCTGAAGCAGACTCCAGGCTCTGAGCTGTCAGCACAGAGCCGGACGCGGGTCTCGAACTCACAGGCGGCAAGATCGTGACCTGAGCCGAAGTCGGACACCCAACCGACTGAGCCCCGCCAGGCGCCCCTCAAAAATAAACACTTAAAAATTTTTTAATAAAAATAAATTTTAAAGAATTGTAATTCCCATGAAGTTATATTTTAGGGGAATCAGTGCAGATTAATTACCAAGTCCTTTTGAATTGCGACTCTGTCCAATAAGACTTCAAGGGAGGGGTTTTTCCACCTCTGCAAATCTTTGAAAAACATTAAGCAAGCAAGTTCTTGGCTTACTGTAGACCTAGTGAATGGTTGGTTTTAACCTGTCCTGCCTAGAATTATGTAAAACATTTTTTACTTGTTTCCCCCGCGCTACGTAAGACTGGTCACACGTAAATCCCACCTGGTCGTAAACGCACGTATCTAGGGGCGCCTGGGTGGCTCAGTCGGTTAAGCATCCGCCTTTGGCTCAGATCATGATCTAGCGGTTCATGAGTTCGAGCCCCGCGTCGGGCTCTGTGCTGACAGCTCGGAGCCTGGAACCTGCTTTGGATTCTGTGTCTCCCTTTCTCTCTGCTCCTCCCCCAGTTGTTCTCTCTCGCGCGTGCGCTCTCTCTCTCAAAAATAAATAAATAAACATTAAAAAGACCTCATGTAACTAATTAAGCAGTGCCCAAGTGCTGGTGGCAGGAACTGTGCCTGAGATCGTATTTGTTTTTTGTTTAAATTTTTTTTTAACGTTTATTTATTTTTGAGAC